GGTGTTACGATCCAAAAACGGAATCTCAAATTTCATACTTGTCATCCTTGAAATAATTGACCATATTCAAACCTTGATTTAATAACTAATTTGGGCCTCCCAACAAACGGCCATAATTCCTTGGCTTTGATTCCAATTCCTAGGAACAAACAAGATACCATAATTTCTGATATCACTTGTTGTAAAACGAGGACAAATCAGATTCACAAGAGCGAAGTAATTTGCTGAGAATTTATAATATGGAGGAAAAATACAAAGATTTTGTATTTATAATTTGTCTAACTAATAATGGAGATAAACAAACCTCCAATAATGTTAAATAAACGTATAATGACATTAACAACCCATAATGGGGTAAAACCAACCTAACGAAATAGAATAGTCAAATATAAATAGGGAATAATCCAAGTCCTAAAAGTAGAGTTGTAAATGAAATAGAATGACCAAAAGTTTCCTCATCTCGATCTCTTCAAGTCCACAACAAAGTCCATTTCCCAATAGGGCCTCTAAATAGAATTTTAACTAGATTTTGCCAAATAGGCTAATAGGATTTCAAAAGCATTCCAAATAGAGTCCCTCTTACGTGCGCTTTAATTAGAATTCTCAATTATCTTCAATAAAGAATTTGGGCACACCTAAATTCTAACATTGATTTATGTGGCATTAATGTCTAGTGAATAAATTTCCTATTTCAAATTTCATTTTCAATAGTTTCTATTAATATGAGAGATAAAAAAAAAAAAAAATAGAGAGAGAAAAAAAGAAATATGAGAGAGGAGAAGCATTAATCACAGAAACTGCACTATATCTAGAACAACTTCTAATTCTTGACGATCCTCTTAACAATATCCATTTTTTAATGCAACATCAGCTAAATATAAATAGAAAAATTGCATTGATGAAGCCCCTACGGCATAGTGCAGTGGTAAAGCAGGATGGTTTTCTACGGAGTATCGAAGATTCGAATCCCTACGGTAGTTGAAAGGCAACATTTATGTTGGAAGACAGATGTCCACAGAGAGGAGAACCGCCGAAATATCCGATCCAAATGTGTATAAAGCTGTGACCGCATTCGGATTAACCCGGGTGGCGAACCAAGACGGAAGCCGCCACTCTTCAAGATTAGTCGGGCAAATCTTGGACACATGAGTTAATAAAAAAAAAATTGCATTGATAATCTAGGAGCTTTTGTTGACATTTTGTTCATTTTAATATATGTGACAATATTTTTACTTCAATTCACATTAACATTGGAGATGCAAAGCATATAATGGAATACATGACGACTCCTTTTATATACTCATGATATACATACTATCCATTTGTTATCATATGCTCAGAGTTGCTTCACGTGCAAACTAATTTGTCTTTCTTTCTATTCTATAAATTTCTTCAAGTTTGTTAGGTTTTAATTGTGTTATTGGTGATTCTGTAAACAAAAGGGATTTAATTGTAAATATTGTAAAAAGTCAATGAGTAATATGCAATTGTGTGAAAATATGTTTATTAGGTTTAGGGTTCGAGTATGGCAAAAGAAGGAAAATACGGCACGAATTTTCGATAGACTGTCGCCATGGATTGACTCGAGTGTAAAAAACAGAACCTCCATCGCTTAACTGTCGCCTTGCCTTAGCTCGAGCGACGGCTTGTCGCTCGATTGTAGCTAAGGTCTCGCTCAAGTGACACGTTTGTTCGAGAAATTTTTATTTCACGATTTAAAGGTTTTTCCCTAGCTCATTACTTTTCTAACATACATACATATACCGAAACACATCTGTACGAAAAGTTAGAAGGTTGAATATTGAGAGAGCTTCATTTGTGAGAGATTAACCATATTTTGTCATTCAACCTTCACCTATTTTGATTATTTTGGTGAGAAAAACATCATTCCTATAATCCAAATACTAAATTGCCTTTCCATCACATTTGTCAGAGTTGCTGAAGTTCGAGGGAAGTAAACTGAAAGTTCCAGTCATTGAAGAACGCACGGTTCTTCGTGAATCCATAGGAGATAAATGATTTCACAAAGTTGGGACTAACTGTAGGAGAGCAGAATCCAGAAGAGTTTTGAAAACTGCAGTTGTGAGTGGTGCAGGAGCAAAGAATCCAGAAAAGCTGTTGAAATTGCAGTCAGGAGACCAGATAGTACGTGTCGTCGTCTAGGCTAGTAGACTGTAAATTACAAATAATTTATAGCGGATTGTTGACTGACAAAGTGTCTGAAATTTTTCCCAGTTGGGTTTCTCCATGATCATCCTGGTGTTGATTTACTGCTTTTACCTTGTTTATTGATTGATCATATAAGTTGCAATATTCAAATTTAGGACTAAAATGACTTGCATGTTTAATCATCTAAAAAAGAATTAAAAAGTGACTTGTTGCTATTTAATTCATTAGTTAATTTGAATTTCACATTATACACCTATTCACCCCACTCTAGGTGTTGTTAGGGTCGAATTGCGTAAATTTCAAAGTTGTTCATTGTCGTGTTATATCTCATGCTTCTTCACGACCAACTCGCGCATTTGTTCATCAACTGTTTAGTTTAGTGTTAACTCGAACCCATTTATAAAGAAAGTTTAGTGTTTATTAATATATCAGAAAATTCGAGCTTACAAATTAAAATTACAATTAGCAATAATTATAAGAAACTAAGAAAGACACACATGAGACTGTATACAATTTTCAAACAAATAATAAATGAGTCTTCAACGTGCAATACATGCTTATGGGCTACATTTGGTGGATAGATTGAGCAATTTAACACTTTGGCATGTCTCGCGGAGGAGGCAACATTTTAGCATCTGCAGTCTTACCATTTCTAACAATGAATGCCATTCCCATTCCCCAACTTACACGTCGCTCAAAATGGCAATGCATCATCGAAACTCCTGGATTATTCACCTTGAATCTGATTGCTGTCCAACCATTTCTTGGAACTGCAATTGTTTCCATTAGAGGAGGGTCCACGAGATTATAGTTCAAAGGGTCTTTGTCTTTGTCGAAGTTTCCATATCCCCACCCGACCACGTAAAAGCTATATCCATGTACATGCATGGAATGGTCTCATTACAACAAAAAAAGTCATTCGCAACATTAAAAATGCAACATTTGTTGATAAATATTGCTAAAAGGGTCTTTTGACAATATTTTAGGAAATAAATGTTGCTATTGATTAGTATAATGAGTTTTGACAACGTTTTTAAAAAATAATGTTGCAATAGACCCCATTTAGCAACGTTTATTGAGCGCTTTTCGCAACGTTTGTTGAATGTTGCTAAAAGTCTCACTTTTCGCAACATTTGAATAAAGACTTTTAGCAACGTTTGTTCAAACGTTGCGAAAAGTGAGATTTTTCGCAACGTTTGAACAAACGTGCGAAAAAGGTACTTTTTGCAACATTTATCAAATGTTGCCCAAAAAATTTATTTATTTATTTATTTTAAATATGGAATGAAAAGGAAACAAATTATAACCCTCATTCATTGGAGAACGTTGCGAAAAAGGTACATTTATCAAATGTTGCCCAAAGAATTTATTTATTTATTTATTTTAAATATGAAATGAAAAGGAAACAAATTATAACCCTCATTCATTTCTCCACTCCTCCTCCTCTAAACTCTCTCCCGCGTCTCTTAACTCTCCCCCCTCCCATCACTCCTCCGTCTCTAAGCTTTCTCCGCCCTTCCTCTCTAGCCTCTCCCACGACATTCACGGGCTGACGACAGTGACGGCACCACTCTTCGCGGCTCCAAGCTCCGCGCCTCCGCCGTTCCAATTAGGGCTCCTCTTCGCGGCACCACTATTCTCTAATTAGGGCTCCTCTTCGCGGCACCATTCTTCTCTAATTGGAGCCTATCTTGTTTAATCAGAATTGAATATATTTTTTTGGGCAAATTTTTAGTAAAAGTCACGTCACATGGGTTTTGAGGAATCGTGGGCCCCTATTACACGTAAACTTTGTTTCTGCATTTTTATTGTTGTTCGATCTGTTGATGATCATAATGTACAGATTGACATGCCAAATGTTCTGTAAATTTTTATTTTTTTGCTTTTCCATTTTTGTATATTTTTACTTGATTTTTCTATTTTAGGTGATGAAATATACTTGTTTGGTTAATCATCTGACGGTACATATACATGTAGGATGTTAAAAATTTGATTTTTGTGGGGAATTCTTGTGTAAAATTGTTGGATTGTAGTAAACTCTGTTCTGGGATTGTTTCTGTTAATTCTTTTTGATACCTTAATTTTATTTTGGAGATATAAAGATGAGAAAAAAAAAGTCAGTAGATAATCGCAATTTAGGTTCAGTTCTTGCAATTTTGTTGAGTAGTGAGGCAATTTAGCTACTGGATATGCTATGTTCAGCAAAAGATAATCGCGATATTGATGATCGTTTTCACTTTCTTGCATAACTTAGTTTAATTATTGATGTTCTTAACAAGACTCGTGTATTGATGTTGGTCATGTGTATGCTTGCAGGATTGATGCTTAGAGTTGTATAGTCAGCAAATAATTTAAGGTACAGAGTTGCAGCACAGCATCCATTAACTATAATACTCGTTGAACTATATGTTATTATTTATTTATTTTTTTGTGAAGAGACAATGTGATAATATCTATTCGTTTTTATGATCTTCAGTGGATTGAATTTTTCTACAACATGTTGCTTTGTATCTTCTTCATTAAACTTTTCATAGACCTCAAGCTGTGATGGCCACTGGTCAGGTCTTATTGCATCATTTCTATTGCAAGAAGTCATTTGCTAGATTTAACGTGAAGGTTCCTTTTTTTCCCTATTAAAACTCCCCCGTTTTACAATAATTTAGTTGCATTTCACAATTTCATTAGCTTTACTCTCTTCTGACATGGTACCAGACTTGGTTTTGGATTAGTGCTATTAGTTTTGTAGTTTTATTATATAACTATATTTAATTTTCTGGTGAAATCATCGGTTGTCTTACATTCCTTACTAATAGATTGTATCTTCAGAAACTCTAATCGGAAGCGGGTGTAGGAACTGGATTAATTTCTTCTCTTGTTTGTCTACAGAAATATGTGGATCTGAAAGCAGATTTGATCAAAACTGAGCGGCATCTTCTGAAAGAAATGGGCTTCATCTGCCATGTTGAGCATCCTCATAAATTTATATCAAATTATCTTGCTACTCTTGGAACTCCTACAGAACTGAGACAAGAAGCATGGAATCTTGCCATGTTGAAACTCCTTTTTATTTAGATGTTGATGTATTTCATTTTAATGTTCAAGTGTATGGATTCAAAAATTTGTAATGAAATTATCAATTTTTATACAATTTTAAAATTTGCTCAAAAGGAGTAGTTTCAATTTTGTCAATCAATTTACATAAATTGTTTAAAAAACGTTGTCCTATTCTATCAGGGTACGCAGCACTATCCTCTAGGTGGTGATGTATTACATTTTAATGTTCACTTGTATGGATTCAAAAATTTGTAATGAAATTATCAATTTTTATGCAATTTTAAAATTTGTTCGAATGAGTATTTTTAATTTTGCTGATAAAAAAAAAAAAATTATATGACCTACGACAACGTTTTCTAAACGTTGCGAAAGAGGTTTGCGGCAACATTTTTTAAACGTTGACGTAGACCTATGGCAACGTTTAAAAAACGTTGCCGTAGACCTATGACAACGTTTTTTTCTACTCTATAGCAACACCTCGATTTGCAACACATGTCCAAACGTTGCAAAAGGTCTACAGCAACGTTTTTCGAACATTGCCGTGACTGTTTTTGTTGTAGTGTCTACCCCTGCAACTGTATTTGTTCCCTCGAAAACGAACTCCACTGTGGAATTATAGTCAAGAACTACTACGTCTGTCCCATTTTCAGGCCTCCACAAGTCTCTTGGGGTAAAATCTACAGTATAATTGAAAGTCAATGGTGGATCACTGGGAAAGTCATTTCCGTAGACTCCTCTGATGCGCCTATAGTAAGCTTGAAGAATGTTGACTTTGGGTAGCTGAAAAGTTATATTATTCACACTTGCTGAAAAACGTTCATTGAAAGGTCCCTCACATGAAATATTGGGGTAAGGACTTAAATTGATGGAAAGGGTAAAGAATAATTTAGTGGTCACATTCAGTGGAACATCAACATGATGATTTTTACTTGCCAAACTTTTGAGTTGCCCGGTGAAATTAGCTGAAGCATTTGTATCATTGAAATTAGGAAGACTAGGAAGAAATAAAGATGCTGGGAGAGTATAATTTCCCCTATACTCAATAATAGCTGTTGTTGTTGTGTTGTCGTAATTCCCGGCACTAGCATAAACCCTGGAAGCCATGTAGTAGTGGTCAGGTTTTTGATTAGCTTCCAACAAGAAATCTATGGTTTGTCCAGGGGAAATGGCAATAAGATCGTTCTTTAAGGGCTTCGTGTAGCTGCCATCTGATCCAACTACAGTAATAGTGTGGTTTGCAATGGAAAAAAACATAATATTGTTCATGACTGCATTAACCATTCGGAGCAAATAAGTCTTTCCATAATCGACAGTCAGCTTGAATGTGTGTGCAATTGTATGACCAAAATATTTAGTTAAAATTTTATTGCATTAATATGACTATTTGATTTCATGATCAGTACACGGTTAGCTGCTACAATGTAACTCTCGAAAAATTTACAAAAAATTAGATCACAATTTTAATTCCAAACCTGATCTGGAGCACGTGTATAGATCCATTTATAAAGAAAGCATCAGATGGATCCCCTCCACTTTCCGTGAATTCGTTCATAACTTCTTCCACATCACTGTTCCACCACTCTCCTAGTATGATGGGCACATGAGCATGAGGGTTGGGGAAAGGATAGTCATTTTTCTTCTTTGGATAAATAATGAGTGTTCCATGTACGGTGGCGCGTTACCATTCACTATGAGCATGCCACCACAAAGTTCCTTCTTCGTTTGAGAGAACAATCTTTTGGCTAAACTTTGTTCCCGGTTGAATTGGGCATTGAGTGATATACTTAGGACCATCTGACCATGGATACCTTGGCATTTTCACTCCATGCTTGCAAAATAAATCTAACTTTAGTACAAGGCAGAATTCTGGTCTCCATTGCTGGCAAAATGGTATAGTTGACTGATCACAATCATATACTAAGTACAGATGTTTATACCAGTGGATGGTGATGTTCTCGTGTGCTCAATTGTAAACATCAACGATAACTGTTTCTCCTTTAGTAGTGTATATAGTTGGCCCCAGATATTGTCCATTTATTGTCAAAATAGTTTTGTTGGTGCAAAGCCTTGTGTACGAAGCATCTCTTAACTGCAAAAACCAAGCTTATTAACTTCAAAAAATGTGAAATTGTTTCCAAACAAAAGCAATAACTAATACAAGCATGCAATATACTCACCACAAACTTATAGCGACGTTCTCGAGCATGAGCAGTCAGTACATTACAGAGAAGAAGAAAACCAACGAAATGTAAGGTGAAAACCTTCATAATTAACTAGAGGTGTCAAGACGGACGGGCCGGCCCGACCAGTGAAAACCGGCCCGGATTGACCCGGGACCGCGGGCAGACTCGTGACCCAAGCGGGCAGTTCACGGGTTAAGGAGGTGTGACCCGCGGGCTTCGCGGGTTGCACCTTCACGGGCCGCGGTTAACCCATTGTCCCGTGATTTTTTTTTTTTTTAAATTTGAAAAAAGGGGGGAGAGAGCCAACCTAGTTGGGATGTACTTATGCTATAAATATTTGATAATAGGAATTAGAAATGCATTTAGTTGTTATTTATTTAAGTTAAATTTAACTTGGCAAAGTTATAAATAATTCATGTAA